ATCGCGCGTTACAACGGCGAGAAAGTTGAACCGGCGTTGCGCCGGCTACTTCTTATTCCACTTCCGCTTTGTTTTAGAGCAGCTCGGGGAATCGTAAAAGCCGCCGCTGTTTCCGGATGCGGCTGGCCATCTCTCTCTCTCTCTTCCGGTAAATCCGCGCCACGATCCCCGGGACAATAGGGGGATAGGAAAGTTCGCCGGGAACCGCCGGGCGAAACGATACCGACCATCGCGATCGTCGATCGCGATTACTCAAGACTGCTAAAAACTGCGATAAAGGCCGGCAGCAAGTAGCAACCTCTCGTATCCGAATTTGAATCGTATCACTGCGTGCATGTATTTTTGAAGAATTCTTTTTTTTCGATAAAAGAAGGACGTATTAAGACAGAGTGTTTCCGAGAACGTATAAAGACGAATCAATCCACTACAATTTCAGTCGTCGAATGAGAATGCAGAAGGAGAAAGACAAAAATCTATTGGACACGTTAATTTTTCCATTTTCTCGCGCACCAGTAACAAATAACTCATTTGCAAATTTACATAAGTATTTTAATCCGTGATTCTACCATTTATTTCTTCCGCACGTTCATTTGCATTCGCGTATATCGATATTAAAGTTTTTAATCGTATTTGAAGTTAATTACACCCAGAGGGATTTACTTTTTGAATTGAATTTTGAATTATACAGCCAATCGAGCGGAGACATTCGAACGCGCATAGAAGTTTTATCCATTGTTCTTGGCAAAATAACTCGTGTAAACATTTCGAAATTAAACAACTAAATTTGACATGGATTAATACAATTGTTGTTTCCTATACAGCACTGTAAGTCAATATAATCTCGGTAGTTTCAATCGAAACGAAACATTGGACGTAAGTAGCAACGATTGGCCGTCAAACAATTCGACTTTCGGCGAGCAACGTCTAATATTTCAAGCTTCTTGCGCACGCAGCAATTTCCGGAACAGCTCCATACGAGCTATTTGTCAACGCTTTATCTGGTCAATCTCGAGCGGAGAATTTAGTTTTTCCCCCAGAAAGCAAAAAAGACCATTTCCCCGGGCTGTTGATTGCATCGTCTGCGTTGTTTCTAGTACGAGAAAAGCTTTTCCAATCGCCAGTTGTAAGAATCTGTAATTTATTGATCTGATCGTTCAACCATTTTCGACACGATTGATAACCTTTTGAATCAAAGTTTCGATTTAAAAACAGCAGAGGAAAAAAGTCAAATACAACGATAGAAACAAGTCTTCCGAATTACATTAAATTCGTCGTCTTATCTTGTAACAACTGAAATATGAAACGGTTGTGATTTTAGCAGTTAGAACCTTCTTTTCAATTAGAAACATTCGCCAAACGTTCTACGTTGGAATAGCTTTTCCTATCAGGAAACTAGAACGGTAGTAGAGGAGTCAAACGAGGAAACCACCTCCACTTCTGATTATACACTTCTGCTACTATTGTTTCTGACAGGAAAATAGAATGACAATGAACTAACTAAACAAAAAAGAGCAATAGAACAATAAGGAAAAAGAATGTTGCTAACATTCGTTATAACGTCTTAGTACTCTGTATAATGTTAATAGGAATATAGAACGATAATGGAAGTGTTAAACAAGGAGAGCAATTGAAGGACACGAAATCATTACTAGCTTTAACAGTAACGTCTAGGTATCTTTGGTTCGATAATATTAGGAGTACAAGATAGTAGCAGAGGTATCTCTATGGACGAGATCAGCCAGCAGTTGATAAGAATTTCGAATAAAGTCACTGATATCACTATGTTATTCTGTTCTGGAACACCTTCTAAAGAAACGCAGAACACAACTGGATGTCTAATCTCCATCTCGTTAGCAATTTAAACACAAAGATATCGTTATCTTCATTATCGTTATTAATTTTTCGCAATTCTAAATACCAGAGAAATAAAAAGGATTCAAAAAAATTAATATTTTCCTAAACGTCACTCGTCCCTTCGAGTTCAAAAGTCACCTCTCTGTTTCTGGCAATTATAATTAATTATTAATCGTTTTAAAAACACCAGAGAAACGAAAGAAGTTTGGAAGCAGATTGATATTCCTCTCGATGACCGAAAATCATCCAATCACTTTTCCTCATTTGGCAGCGCTCATTCAATCATCTCCCAGTTTCTGTCCACAATTCTGTCGTACAAATCCACTTTCCGCGATGAAGCATCAACCGGAAGTTATAAATCAACCAACAGCAGCACCGACCCAGAAAACCGAAGAGCGATTCCCAGCGTCCGGCGACGCTCGAGGTCGCCGAGTAATTTCGTTTTATCTGGCAGTCCAATATCCAACTAAAACGATTCCTCTTTCCTCGGCCCTTCTGACAAGTCGAACAAAGACACGTAAGGATCGTATGTACATACGTAGGTGCTGGTCTGACGCGTGAGCATGATCTGTATCCGATCCACGTAACCGGAAGATCGTTTTTGTTTCGCGAATGTAAAAGTTAAATATGGCTAATTCGTCCTGACGTATTGTTGTCCGTGCGATAGTCCTAATTTCACGTAAATTCTCTGAAGGTTAATTTGATTTTCGAGCACTTCCACGATCGAGAACCTGCCCAACACCGCTTTGACTCTTGTTACGCGGTTGCGCCATAACTCTGACATAATACCACGTTCATACATAAACCGAAACCTCGACTGCAACTTCTACCTTCTTGTCTGGTCTTGCTTTTGATAGCAGTTATCGGCTTCCTGGTTTATTTGCACCTGACGTTGCACCCTGTGGAAACTTCGCTTCACTTGTGAACCAGCTACGTTGAAACCGGAATACCGACTAATCATGCCATAAATTCGCGAAAGGCTGAACAATCTCGCGATACGAACGATGCTAAGTGATTACAAAGCACCGGACGGCAAACGATTTGTAGGAATTAAGAAGAATTTCTTCTCCGAGGTCTCCATTCATGAGAACTCCGCGCGAGTTTATTCGCGAGGAACCGTAAACTGAGACAGAACCGGGTCACCACACGCCGCGCGATGACTCTGCGAAACTTCCGGTCACACAAGTTTCTGACACCGTGTCGCGGAAACTTGGGTTTCACCTTGAGGGAAATTTCGAACGTGCCACAGCAGCCGTGAATAGGGAATAAAAGGGTGGAAGCAAGAGAGTTGGGTGGCACAAGAGTCGGATGGAAAGAGACGTGTGTGTCTGGCCGACGAGCAACCACGGTCCGATAAATAGCGTCCTTTTGATAGTCCTGCCACGCTTTGAACGGTTCCATCGCTTTGTCTAGCCGCTATCAAATGAACTTGAGGGTCCGCGTAATAATTAGGCGGCACAGAGGGACAGGGGCCTAACTGCTAGTCTCAAAGTGGTCGTTACCGATATCAACGGCACGTTCCTGACAGAGCCAAAGCTACGAACGCCTAATCGTTCGATTGGTCGACGTGCTTTCAAAGGGGAGGGGGGTAAAGCGTGGCATAAATATCGACTGGCAGTGAACGCGATCACCTTGCCAAATATGATCACAATTCTCTTATTCAGTATTCTGAAACTGAAACGCGAAATATACGTCATTGGTGGAAATGATTGAAATATAATGGACAAATATAGATTTGGTAATAGAATTTAGGAGAACGTGTACCTATCAGGAATAATTGAAATCTTAAATTCACTGTGGAGATGAAATCTAATATTAGGAGATTCTAACTTGTTATAGAAGAGTGTGATGAAGAGAAATAATAGGTTTAATAATAGAATCTTCTATTTTATTCACTATCTTAAAAGATGGGACTTAGTGGTCTATATTAGAAGGAAACATAACGTAATAATGGGAATGATCGAAGGAAATCTTAAATACGGAAAACAAATACAGACTCAGGTGTAGTACATGTTTTGTGAACGTTATGGATATAGCTTTTAATACGGGATACTCTGATTTAACCGGTTTAATTGGGATCCCAATTATTCGAAACTCTGAACGCAATCGAAAAATTGGTTGTAAATAAATGCAAATTATCCGATTTTGTCGTGTTTTCCAAAGTGCACCGGCTCGGCGAATGGTTATGGGTACGAAAAAAACGATGCGGTACACACGTAAAGAGAATGCGAAAAAAGAAAAAAAGAAAATAACACAGTCATGAAACAGCCGTTTACCCAACAGAATGAAACTCGACTGGACGTCGTTTACATTCGTTTTCGCCATTTTTTTTTTTTTTTTTTTTTTGCCTCTTTATCAATTCGATAAGTTTTACCTCGAATAATGTGCATGGAAACGTATTTCATTGAAAGCATCCCTCTCGATGAAAGTCCGATCGCGAAATGATCAAGCTGATTCTCGTGAAAGCACGGCGCCGCTCCAACTTCCGCCCATAAAAATACATTTCGCCCGATCCGGCGGGAGCTTAAAAAGCGCGTAAACAATAAACTGCGTTGTGTATAAATAGTCGGCTAATAATCAAGCCAAAGGCAGACAGAAACTTCGATCGAACTTCCATAAAAGAAGTTTTCCGCGCACGAAACTTTCCGAACGAAGGCTCGCAGGTTGCGCGTTTTCCTCTCTCCTATTATTGATGAAACGAAGTTTCACCGGCTGATATTCGAAATGTTTCCTGGCCAGCCTTTTCCCAACAGCCGATCTGTTTGCATTTGCAAGCCCCAATGGAGTACGCGAAACTACGCAGAGAACACCTGCCGTTTATTCCTCCACAAGAGTAAAATTATTCCGTTTTATTCTCCTTTCTTCGTTTCACATTTTTCCAACCTCGCAGCAAGAAAGTTGCTTACGTTTTCCGAACCTTCGAACTAACAAAGATAAAGTTCCAACAACCAACGTTACGCCCGCGAGGTATCACGTTTTGATTGATTGTATCGAAAATTTGCTTGGAACTTCGCATTTCTCTAACTTTAAAGCATCGTCGAGTTTTTGGTGGGTCCGAGTTGCTTTCATTTCGACTTATCCGACGTAGGTACGCTATTTCCGGCCTTGCCAGGCTGAGGATTCGAGGATAAACTGATAGAAGCTCGTTTAAGCGGAACTACAGAGCGTTTATTTGCTCGGCGAGATATTCTTTATGGAAATTTCTGTGCGAACGCGTATCCTTCTGACAGAATTTTCACAAAGTACAGTTGGTTAAGTACGTATACATAGTAGAGCACGCTTTTCGCGTCTCTCTCACGCTTGGTAGATTCAAATTGTTCTATTAGACGAGAGCGGTACTTTAAACAGCCGAAAGTCTCGAAAAACACAATCACACATCGACACGCAAAGTTCACCATACGAATAGCGATCATAGTTTGCTACGATCCAGTCCGAATTGAACACATCGAGACCCACACGTGACATGGAACAAATTTGAAAATTCGCTCGTAATTTAGAAATTTCGTGATTCCGTCGTACGCGAGGAAAAGTTAGATCCACCTAAATCTAATTCCGACATTGCATCGATCGTCCATGTGCATTTTCATTTTCCATTTTGCTCTCGAGATCATAGCAAACTGAAAATGAGCGGTGGAATTTCGGTCGGAGAAGTAATAACTCGTGCAATCTCTTTTTATTACGTATGACACGATACATATAGAATAGGGCAATAACTCGGAATGTCTCTATCGTTTCAAATATTCCCGATAAAATTTTTACGCTAAGAGAAATATTGTGAAAACGTCTTTTCGACGTTTCAAGACGTGTCAAGTTTCAAGATTCACATTCCTATAATACTACAATTTCGCGCCATTCCTTTTACAACGGTCTATATAATATCACATAACCAGAAAGTTATCATCCCACCCTGTAGGTGCTGAACAAATATATACCTTTATATATATATATATATATTCGAACATTTCTCAATCACTCGTAACTCACGGATGTAAAAATTTAGAGAAACAACACATATAGTCTCCGCAACGTGTGCAGATAAAACACTCGCTGATGCTCCACCTTAACAACTAGAAAGATTGACACATAGTTTCCGCAAGATATATAAGATATATCTTTTCGCTTGAAAATTTGATAGCGGCACATCAGTATTCGATTAACGACAGTATAAACGATGCGTCAGACAACATTTTGATTGTATTCTCAGCGTAGTATACTTAACGACTAGACGTACGAATCTTTGGTATGGGTACAATAACAGCATCAAAAATACATATACACGTCGAAAATTGATCGTTTCGTCCTAGATAATCGGAATGCTATCGTATCACAACTTTTGGCGGATGAACAGAGACCAAAAACATGACGATATTGAACACGTTGTGCGTACAACAGTTAACAGGTAGATCACATTATCGCGAAGAAGTGTGAAAGATATACGACACGTCGAAGGTACATGTCGGTTCTTCATCAAACATTCAGTTTTGTACCGAGGGAAGCAGTTAATGGAAGACGACAGTGTGCGCGTGAATACGGGAAACAACGCGAATCCTTTCTCAGAATACAACGATGCACGAACATTGTGATAACATACAAGGTACAATTCCTCTTTTTTTTTTTTTGCGAATGCATAAATAAACTATCGGTCATCCCGATTGGAAATTCTTCTAACAGAGGTACGCCGACTTTCGAATTTGTATCAGTGCTCCGAAATTTGTACATCATAGATATTTTACCATGAACAGGCGTAAGTAGTATTATCCTGTGACATTTAAACGACCGTGGAGATTCAAGTGCGAGTCAGTCGGGGCCACGTTGTTAGCTGAATAAAGCACAAGCTCATTATTCAGCTACGCTACACGTAAGAACAGTGTCAGCAATAGCAGGAAGTACTCGGAGGCGATGTGTCGCGCTCGTGGCATCGTAACACTCTTTGGTGAGGTAGCAGTGATTTATCCACGCTGGTCTCCATCCTGCGCATCACCCGGTCCAAAAGTATCTCCACGGCGCGTGCCACATTCTGGCCTGTGGCTGCACTCGTTTCCAAATAGACCAAGCTGAGGAGTATAGCACAGATTCTTTATCTTTTTCTATAATCTAGATTCTTTGCAGTTCACACTGTTTCAGGCTTCCACGTGTGTTTTAAACAATCTCACGAATATCATAAATCATACCGTAGCGAATTTACGCACAGACATCTCTGGAAGTTTCGAATAGTATAAACTGCAATTTCGTCCTATGTAATTATCTCCTTTGATTATATCAATGAAACAATGAACAAACACAACTGGAGGTTAAATAAAACGACTGGAAGATGATACCAATCAGACGAGAGGATCTGGTTTTGGGAATTGCTATGAGGGAAGAATGTGAACTGGAAATTTATATTCTATTTGGTTTTCAGAATGGGAAGTAAAAAGGAAGACAAATGGAATAACACTGAGTTAATCGCAGTAGCTGATAAGGAACGTAATAAATGACGTGTACTATGTTATTTACCCATGCTTCTCCGCTAATTCCCGTGCCTTATGTTCACTAACAACACGTTTGTCTTCGAGATCGGATTTGTTTCCACAGAGAATTATGTCTGGATCTTCGCAATATGCGTGAGTCTACATGTGTACAAACATGAATTAACGATCAAACAAAGGAATCGAGATTCAACGAGAAACAGAAACGTGCCACGATGCAAAATACAAAGAGCTTGCAACTAACTCTGATGATGAAACAAACTCTAATCCATATTCTTTTACGATAACATATTTGAAAAAAAAGACAACACAGTAAATTTATGAACAAAACTCTTCTCCTTCCAATTAAAAATGTGCATTAACACACAGTGCATGACTTTACTGTATTTCTTCAATTAGAATTTTCTTCCTTTTCAAGAATGAAATTTGATATTTCAAATGATATTTCAAAAATTCTTGCCAATTTTTCTAGACAAATCGGTATTCAATATTCATAACTTGATTAGGAATGAATTTCATTAAGGTATAATTTCGATAATAAAAAAAATCGGTAGATATTCAAATTAAGGCGCCATATCCTTTCGATCCTTGCGATATCACACGCAGCACGTTAACGATCATATTAATTATCGATATACAATTATAAATTAATTACACAGTGCAAATTTCTTAATTGAGTAATTTCTGCATTTAATTGATAAATCCTAGTGAAATCGAACGATAGTTTGAGTCCTACATGTAAATATATGTAAATACACAAGAAATATATATTAGTAAAAAAAATACTATTTACTACTATAAACTACTATCTACTATCTACAATTTGTTTACAATTATTACTCAACAAACATGCAAAATAAAATACATTTCATGTTCTAAATTCCCATGCACAATCCACTAATTCTATTCTAAAATCAAAAATTTTTGCACTACATCCTTAATTTACATCATGCGATATACATGTATGAAATTATCATCACACATAAAACCAACTAAAATTTTGATATTTCTAATAGATCATCTGCATTCATAGGAAAATTAACTCAAATGATCGTTCATTGCATAATTTTTACAGTAATAATGTTAAAAAATAATGAGTACCCTAAGCTGCTCCAGCCAATTTCTTACTTCAAGAAAAGATAGCTCATTGGTCAGATCAAAAATTAGTAAGAAACCCATGGAATCCCGGTAAAAGGCTGTAGTTAGACTTCTGAACCTAGATATTAATGGCATTGCAGCAATTGCATCAAATTTACCATTGCTCTATTATGAAAAGTAATTGCTAAACTTTATAATTAATGTTCTTTTCATATCATTATATCAACAGATGTAAGAAATTCTAAATATTTCATAAGGCACACAAAAAGCCTTGTTTGGTATGCATCATTACTATAAAGTACAAGTTCTAAAACGTATTATTATAGCAAATGTTACCGCTCTTGACCAGCTGTGTCCCACAGCTGCAAATGCACACGTTGAGTTCTACCATTCGCTGTCTGGTATATCTGTAATAGTTAATGACTCTGGCTTATAAATGATACCATATGTGTCTTAAAAGCATTTATATATGAATTCATAGTTTGACCTACATATACCAAGATGTTTTAAATAAATGAAATTTATGTAAAACTCAACGAAAACAACTTGTTCATTAAATAATAAATGATATAAGGTAAGTAACAAGGTAATCAATAGTAAAATAATCTCTTACCACGCGTTTTTCCTTAAAGTCAATGCCAACAGTAGATATAAAACGAGATTCGAACGTGCCATCGGTATACTGATATAGAAAACTAGTTTTGCCAACTCCAGAATTTCCCAAGGCCAAGAATTTAATGAGATAATCGTATTCCATCGTTGCGTATTAATGATTGACGGGTTGTGACACTTCTATCGTGAATCTTTGTTAAAACAGACACTTCGATACAAAATTTTATTGACCGTTTTTATCATGACTCAAACTCCGAAAAATATGTGACTTTCGCACGATTACGTTTAATTTCGAGATGATCGCTACAAACTAGGAGACATGTGCGACATTAGACACCTGTTGCCTACGTATACAATTTTCAAAAGGTTCGCGCGTTTCGAAACAAAGCACTCGGTATATAATAAAACTCGATGTTATGAACTTTACTGTTCCATAATCAAAAATAAAGAGAGGAAACACGTACAAATCAACACCTCATTGAAAATTAAGGACTATACTGAACCTCGTTCACAGTGACGTATGACAGGTGTGCATTGAATAACGGAATACTGCTGATAATTACAGTGGTACCAAAATTCACAAAGAAAATTCGGAAAAATATAATTTAATTTGATAAAGTAATTAAAACAATTGTAGTTCTTATATTTTTATTCAGCTTTATTTTTTTAAAACGAAAATCAACTTAAAAAATCATAAACACAAAATTATAGAAAGATTATGAACATAAAAAAATATTTTAATTTTTTTATGTTTTTACAGTCAAATAAATTATGTTCAAATTTACTATCCTAGTCTATTTTCTACATATCACATGTATGCGTGCAAGAAAATAATTTTTTTAATATAAAATGTAAGTTAAATAAATTTTATAATGTTGGTAATTACGATACGTCATATCCATAGAATAAACAAGAAAATGAATTTCTTTTTTCATGTAAAGATCGATGAATATAACAAAAATTAATGTTAATATTAAGCATTCGTTAATACAGTATGGTTTGTAAAACATATTTATTTTTTTCTATGTAAAATTCTGATCATATTTCCACATAACCTTATAATTACCTTCAGTTGTATTTGAAGATCATAATGTTAATCACTCATTTATAAAATTTGAACGGCATCTCCAACAGTAATAATTCCATCTTCTTTAGTTTCTTTGGTTAAATAAATACCAAATCTCATTTTTCCATGAAATTGTTCTGTAAGTGTACGTAGTGGTTCCACTGTCTTTTTACCAGTGAGTTGATCAATGCAAATCATTTGACATCTAGTGCATGGTCTAGTGACCTAAATATAATATTCCTTAATAAAAGAACTATAAAATCTCTGTTTGCATTTTTTTAAAAACATACCAGAAAACTATTTTCTCCTATATAAACATGTTTCCATTCTGTTTCTTCAAAAGCTTTACAACCATTTAATATCATATTTCCTCTAAACCTATGTATGATTGTATCTTTTTGAACTTCTTTATCAGATATTTTATCACTAAGCCATAGTACACTTGCCTCATTTATTAATAAATATTGAGCTTGACTAGAAAACGATAATTCGGGCTTAGTGCTTTCTGCAAAAAGAAAATGTGATATATAATAAAACTATTTTCATAGTTAAATATTCATAATTTTATGTTATAGAGCATACTTTTCTTTTTGTTATCATTATCATTTTGTCTTATAAGCCTCAAATTTGGAAGACCTAATGCTGAACTTAACCATTTAGAAACTTCTGAACCACAATCAATACCTTGTACTTTATGTCCACAAACTCTACTTTGACATATTGTTTCATTTGCAATGTTTGTAGAGCTATTATCTAAAGGAATTTCTATAGTAGACATTCCTAAAATATTTTTCAGTTATTAAATTGATCAATAAATACGTAAAATAATTCAAATTTTTACCTGGATAATGTAATTGCATGATTCCTTTGTCTTTAAATATTATTGGTTTTAACAAACAAAGATTAACATGTTGCTTTTGTGTTAAAGAAATACCAGAAGATGTAATAATCATCCACTCTCTATCATACTGTAAACCTTTTGAATTTAAATTCCAGGAACCTATTATCTTGTAGGCACCACATGATTTTATTGGGTATATGTACAATTGTTCTAAAGTACACTTCTTTTTAATTGAACCAGTATCCATTATTAGTCTAGAAACTGACAGTTTTATTTTTTCTAATGTATTTGTAAATTCATTTGCTTCGTTGTGTGTGATATAATTTGTTACATCTTTTGTATTTGCATCATGTTGATTATATTTTTTATGTAAAGCTGTTCTATAATCTAACCACCAATCTGGAATTTTGTTTATTGGTGATCCATCAACAAAACATTCTTTGATCATGAGTAATAAAGTTTCAATATCCTTGATTGTAGACATGTATCCAAATGAAACTCTAACAGCACCTGTTGGTTTTTCGTTTATCAAATCTGCAGAACCTCCACAAACATATCCAGCCTCATAATTCTGAAGAACTTCCTTATTTGATAATGCTAAATGTCTTTGGCATGCACCAGGATTGCAAAAACAACCCGTTCTTAGATGTATTTTGAACAAAGCTGCCATGTGTAAAATTTCCATATATCCTATATATTCACCATTGGACCGCATAAGATTAAAGGTAACAGTACCTCCTTGTATATCTTGATTATCATAAGCAGTATCAGAGTACAATGTTGTAACTGGTTTTCCATTGCTATGGTGAAGCATTAATAAAGATTTGTATAAAAATTTTGCAAGAGAAAATACATGTTTTGAAATTTTTTCCATAGTAATAAATGACAATATATCAAATCCATATTTCAAAGAAATTATAGAGAGAAATGGTACTGTACCATCTTCAAATCTGCAACAGAATATATATCAGTAAAAAGTAATGAGTTTAGGATATGATTACTGAATTTATACCTTTGGTGGAAAATTTTTCGTTTTATGTGAAACAATTCAGAGCTCAAAGTAACATCTATGGTACCACCACCATAATAAACTTTTTGAAGTGTACTTGCACTAGTATTTTTTACTAATAATGCACCAATTCCAGTAGGATAGCCAAACATTTTATAAAAAGATAAACAAACAAAGTCTGGTTTGTAGATAGATAAATCTAAGTCATTTGTTGATGCAAAACCAGCAGCATCAAGTAAGATATACCACTTTGTACATGTATCGGAAACAACACTAGATAAAACTCCATTATGTACATCTCTAATCCATGTTAAGGGATATTTTAGTCCAGAAAAATTACATTGCGCAGGATAAACAAAGAGTGAATTACTTTTGGCTGAATTATTCTGTTGTGGATAGAAATCCATAGAGTTTGAAGAATTGAAGATTTTAAAAGCATTATTATGAGCCAAACAAGTTATCTTTGCTCCTTTTTTATTAACAATTTCTCTCATACCAAGGACTGAAGTATGATTATCTTGTGTATAGACAAAGTGTCCTGAGACATCTTTTTCATCTTCATTAAAAAGAAACGTATCGGCTATTATCTTCAAGGATGCAGTTGCACTTGATGTGAAAATAATACTGTATTCATCAGTAGATGTATGAAAGTGATTCAGAATCCTGCAAAAAAGAAATTATCGTACTACATACTTGAGTAATTAACAGTACTATTTATCTTCAGAATGTCTTACTGATATCTCATACGCTCTATGATATCTTGAGTTACATTACTTGCAGTTCCAATAGAATGTGGATTAGCATAAAGTGAATTCTGTAAATCAAAAGCAATATTTTTTATTTGCAGATCAGAATATAATGTTGCTCCTGCATGATCCAAATAACATTCCTCTGAAAGATAAATGGCAGTATAAAAATACAAATTATAGCACAAAGATTATCTTCTTGAATGTATATCATACAGTTTGTGCAAAATTATGCACTTTGATTGCTTACCTTTAATTCTTGAAAAATTATTTTCGAGATTTTTTATGATTTCTTCATCATATACTTGCGTATACAATGGCATTGAATTTGTCGTATTTTCCATTTCGACTGTTTAATAATAATATGTAAAGTAACTGACAAGATCGACAATAATCTACATCATGTGCGTGCACGAAAACACTGACAAGAGAGTACTGCAGTAATGATTACCTAATAAGAATTCTAAGTACTGTGTTTTAGATTTCCTAGTTTTTAAGAGACTACGAAGAATTTCACGTAATTGTGCTGTTGTTGATAATTCATATCTATATTCAACTTTTAATTGTAACCAACAAATAGCTTGCACTATGTACATAATTATCATTTACAAAAGAAAAAACTACGTAAAAAGAAAATAAGATATACCAAAACTAGAAAATTGAAGTAAATAAACAAATCGTTTATCTAATTTAATTTATTCCACTAAAAATTTATAATGATAATTTCTCAATTTGTCATAGTTAATTGAATACATTATTAAGTTTTAAAAGGCAATTGTACAAATTGACAACGTAGATTTAAACATACATTTATATGTATATATATATATATATATATATATATATACACACATACATACACGACAGATTTATATCATTGATTATATAATATGATCGTTTACTAACATATCGTAGTATATATGGAATACAAAAGAGATACAACAACAGTTTGCACAATAGATTCATGTATAAATAGAGAGAGTAAGAATATATTCAATTAATTGAAAAGTAAAAGGAATTTATATATTAAATTAAATAATTACTGGACATCAAAAACGTTTAAAGATTGATTCTTCATGCGACGAGGTGGCCGAGTGGTTAAGGCGTTGGACTGCTAATCCAATGTGCTCTGCACGCGTGGGTTCGAATCCCATCCTCGTCGACATTTCTGTTTTGTTACTTTTTTAAAATCTTTCTTAATAATTTTTTTTATAATACATTAATATATTTATATTATTTATATAGAAAAATAGAAATAACAGTTGCGATAAATAAATAAATTATCTAATAAAAATTAATGGAAACGAAAGAACATAATTCTGAAACAAGACCATCCAAACCATCTTGGGGAAACGAAATTTCAAGACCGTCAGAATCGCTTGAATTAATAAATAAAAATATTTTCCACGTTTCTACTAGCAATTCTGAAGATGCTCAAACTGTATCAAGTAATTTATCAAATTAAATCTTTAATAATGTACACATGACGTTTTGTCTCATTATTTTAACGAAAATCATGCCACAGATTCAGCAAAAAATTTATCACCGATAGAAGAATATCTTCAAATGACTATGCGTCTCATTGCGAGTAAATCATTATCGCCTCGCACTTCTGTAATACTGGAGAATCTTTATGTCAAATACAAATTAAAGTGGGGTTATAATTCAAATACTGATATAAATCGAGAAGATATGATAAAAGTCATTGAATATTACGATGAATATAAAGAAACATTTGCACATCTGGAGAAAAAGAAAGGATCAGAAGAAAACTCATCAACGTCCAAAAAGGAACAGCTTGAAACGGAATCTCGTACATTAGTGAAGACGAAGATTCCCATGGAAGATACTGAATCACCTTGGTTCACTTTGCAAACAGTCCAGGACTCTTCGTTCGAACGACCTTGCTCAGAGATAATTCAGATCAACGATGTATTTTCTGATTTTTCCTTAGCCGATACAGGTCACGATAAAACAATGAAGGAGCTCGTCAGACAGTGGATGGCGAAAGAAGAGCGATTTTTGGTAATTGCTCCAGGTCAGAGTAAAAAAGATCCAGATCCTAGCGGAGAGAAGGAAAGAACGCATATTAAAGATCGATGGAAAAAAGTAAGCGTAAATAACAAACTGCTTGTAATAGAAAAAAATTATTTGACGACTTTCATTTTTTCTTTCACCATTCTTAGATACGGAAAATGTAAGAGTAGTTGAACAAGTTTTGATAGCAAAAAAATAGAAAGCTTGTTTTTTTGTTTTTTTTTTTTTTTGTTTTTTTGATTATGATATATTTTGATCATGATCAAAACTTGAAATTACATCATGACAGTTCAGTTCAGAATTGGCACCGTCACGCCTTTCAATTTCTAAACACAGAACTATTCGCTTGCGGATCTACATCGACTTTATCTAACAAGATCACAGACACATGGACGAAAATTGTAGAAAGAAACCGGTGGACATGCATGGCTTTATATGTCAGTATCACAATTTGGAGAAAGTGTGTCCTTGACAACTTGTACAATATCATGACCCGGCATTGGTATATGTACCATATTACATAAACGAAAGGAAGGCCAGGATATAAGGAGAAAAAAAAAAAATTAAATATCTTATGTGACGTAGCAGCATTCTTTTATGTAATGCGGAATAAACCTGAAATCGTGCAATTACGGCGTGACGTGCAATCACACAAATATCTTCACCGAAGTTATTATCTGTTACATGTCATTGGCAATATAACTTTTTTTGTTAATGAGCTGGATAAATATTCAACGAGACATCAAAAATTTCACCAAAATTTAATTTTATAATATAACAAAAATTTTTACAGAAGTTTCTTCTTTGAGATTATGTAAAAATATAATGCTTATAGAATTTGTGATCTTAATTGAATCTGATTCACCCCCACGTTTGTTGCTCCGCCTTCAATCTGGCTATCCTTCACTGCTTTCCTTCTTTCTTAATGATACCTTACAAAAAAAAAGTGTTATGGTACAGTTTCCCTCTCCCTTGTTCGACCATACCCAATCCCATTCGAAACAGTGGCACCCGAAATTCGATCGATCTCCCTGCAATCTTCGCTGTATATAAATACTGCGCCAAGTTTCGAATTCTGTCAGAACATAGCGACTCCTTCAAAAGCAAAATGGCATTCAAGGTAAGCTTCTTTGAACGTCCAGGTTACAGCGGTCTAACACTTTAAGTACAGCGTAATAAAACATAAAGTTTCCATGAGAGAGAATTCTTATTGAAGTTTTTGATCGCAAGGAAAAATCTTTATTGAAACAATTTATTGAGATAAATCATTTTTCTAAAAGTAGCTTTCGATTCATTGGTCTCTCCTTTGTTAAACTCCGAAGAAAAATTTCAACCAGACATAATCGTTTCACATCGAGCGATTTTTACATCAAATAATAAGATAATTTTCTTGCAGTTCATAGTACTCGCAGCCTTGTTGGCAATAGCCAGTGCCGGTGGTCCAGCTGCCTATGACATTGCGACGGCGTCTGGTGATTTCAGCAGCATCGGTTTCAGTCAGGAATCTACACAGAAAGGTCTCGGTGGTCAGAACGTGATTTCTTCTTACACAAAGTCCGATGACTCTGCTCACTCCTTAGTCCGCGTGAGCAGTCATAGCATCAGCAACGATGCTCTCCTCAACTACGACATCAGCCATACTTACGCTGCCCCGTACAGTTATGCTGCTGCAGCTCCTCTAATCGCCAAGACTGCAATCGCACCAGCTCCTCTTTTGGCCAAAACTTATGCTGCTCCAGTCGCTGCTACTCCTCTTCTGGCCAAGACTTATGCTGCTCCAGTCGCTGCTGCTCCTCTTCTGACCAAGACTTATGCCGCTCCTCTTCTGGCCAAGACTTACGCTGCACCTCTTTTGGCCAAGACCTACGCCGCTCCAGTCGCTGCTGCTCCTCTTTTAGCTAAGACTTATGCCGCTCCAGTCGCTGCTGCTCCTCTTTTGGCCAAGACTTATGCAGCTCCAGTCGCCGCTACTCCTCTACTTGCTAAGACGTATGCCGCTGCTGCTCCTCTGTCATACGCTGCACCGGCTGCTCCTCTGTCCTACGCTGCATCGGCTGCTCCTCTGTCCTACGCTGCATCGGCTGCTCCTCTGTCCTACGCTGCATCGGCTGCTCCTCTGTCCTATGCTGCACCGGCTGCTCCTCTCCTCGCTAAGAGCTATGGATATGCTTCCTACGTTCCAACCATTAATAAGATTGCACCAGCTCATGGATTCGCTGCTGCCTCCATCGCTCCAGCTCCTCTTCACTCTTATGCCGCCTCCAAAGCCTACGGATACGAGCACATACCATTTTCACACACCAGTTTTAGTGGTTTCGGTTCCAGCTATGCCTGGTAAAGCTGTGATTCCATACGTTAAGCTTTCCGGTTTTTTTTTTTTTTGAGAATGTAGATCTTGGTCTTACTTTAATTGAGTCTTTGGGATCTTAAATCTTTTGAACATAATTTCGAAGGTTTGACGATTCCAAAGATTAGGTATTTCTTCTTTAGTAAAATTTAATAATATATTACGACTATGTTTATGAATTTTATTGAAGATTGTGTTGTTTTTTGAGAATGATCAAGATGATCTATTAGTAACTGATGGATTAATAGAACCGGATTGAGACTTGTGGATAAAAGTTTCAACAATTTCATGTTATCAGGGCGGTAAAATTGAATTTGTTTAAACGATTCGTAGTAAGATATATGTGCATAAATAAATATAAACGATAAATCATTTTATTTATATTATACTTACTTTTTTTATATTCTGAAAAATTTTTCTACGAATTTCAATTCGAATTGGCAAATAAATTTTTGTTTTTTTCTTTTATACAATAATGTTGCTAATTTATTTTACCCCATTCCTCTGAAACAAAAATGATTGCATAATAATAATCCCGGTTTGATATTGCTGCTGTTTATTTATAAAAAAATATCGAATGAATATACCGTTCCCATTTGTTTTCCATTATTCCATTTAAAATAACAAATCTTCCTTATCGATATTAATTTACGCTTCTTTAATAAATAAAATGACGTAATTTTAATTGAATGATAAATCTCTGATTTATTTTTATTCAAACGTGAATTATAATTCGTTGCATCCGTTAAATTTTTGTTAATGCTCAATGCATTAGACTACATGTTGAACAATAAATTGCAAAATCCTGCTTGTTTTATGACCATTGTAAAATAGTATTTCTATAGAGAATGATAACAAAAGACCACAAAATAACAATGGAAGTGGATCGTGTTCAAATATCATTGTGCTTCGTGAAAAGACTTTCCCTATCATGTATTGACTGCAAGACATTTCCATTTTAAAGCCAACAGAACATTAGCATATAATGGATGGACCTTTGACAATCAAGTTCCACGAATTGAAATCGAGGACAAATTTTATGGAACTCCACTTTTACGAAACAATCGATTAATAGATCTACTTCTGGAAATTTCAATCCAAATTTCTCGAAAGGGACACGTTCTTTCAACTTTCTATTCCTTAATGTATTGTATACGATTCTTCAATATAAATTTACGGGTAAAATAAATAACTTTCATGTTTGAAATGTATTTATTATGTTTTAATATAAAAAATTTCATTTCATGAAATATTTGTGATCCTTTTTAAATATAAGCGCGCCATCAGATATACCACTCTACCGCGAAAATTTCTCTGTAAGAATAAACCAGAGACTAGGGACAAAAACATATCATACAACTTGAAGTATACATTTCCACATTGCTAAGAGTTGAATATTTATACACGTGAATTTGAATTAAAAATTCACCGACTGTTTAAGAACAACGTGGTAATTTAAGTTTATAAAAATGACGAAAATTAGAAAGGTGAAACGTAGAAAGAAATATCGTATGAATGTAAATCGTAAACGATTGCGAAATAAATTGCGAAAACTGCCGACAATAAATTGGTAAATATAACCAAAATCATCATCGTGATTTATTATTGACATACACAAATAAAGTTAAATTTTATTTTTTATAGTTCTCAAATAAAGCAATCGTGGGAAGCAACAAAATCCACACGGACTAATTTGAATCAAATGGGATTAGCATATAATCCAAATGATGCTTTACAGATACCCAATACAAAGAGAGAGCTTATTAAAGAAGTATTAAAAAAAAAAGACGAAAATGATGAAGATAAATTACAAACTGAAGAAGAAGATGTTGAAATGATACCTCCAAAAGTACATGTGGCACAAGAACTTGAAGCAGAAGCAAAGTTACCAAGAAGGAAAATGTTTAAGCTACCAAATAGCCAAGTATACTTTCTTACTTACTTAATGGACAAGTACGGAGAAGATTACAAGGTAATGTTGTTTTACGCAGCAATTTATTTCACACTCAAAATACTTATTATTAAATGAATTATGGTACAGGCTATGGCACTAGATAAGAAGAATTACAATCAATTAACATGGAAACAAATACGTGCTAAAATTAAAATATTTAAAGGCATCCCTGAGCAATACAATGAATATCTTCAAAACAAAAGCACATAATAGTAATTAGTTTCTTATATTGTTTAACACAAGTATATTTCAATTTTAATACAAATTCGTATATAAAATATAGCAGTATAAAAGGAATAAATTAATTAATATTGTTAATTAGGTAAGTACAAAAACATTAGCCAACGCAAAACAATGCTTATTGTATAAAAAACAGATTCATATCATGTATATGTTATGTATAATACTGTATGTTACAAATGAATAAAGTTGATATTTATTTCTAAATACAGTCTCTAAGTCTTTATTTTGTATATCAGTTACAAAAATTAATGTAGCATTTATTGTGCATAATTAAAACAAAAAAAAAGAAATAAATAAATAAATATCTATATATTGAAAAAACAGTATAAAAAGTATTATAAAATTAAATGATCATATGCTGAAAAATCTTTAAAAATTGCACTTTTATTCATTTCTTTTCTTAAAGCTCGAATTACTTTTTTTTAAAAAAGGTTCATTTTGGACAAACTGTAGTTATCATATTCATTGAAAAATTGTACACAATATGCTGAATTAGGCATATTGTTACTTCCTCCTTTTCTTTCTCTTAACCCTCTAGTTTTTCTTGCTTTCTCATATAAAGTATTTTTTAACAAAACATAGGAGCAGATACATTATCTTTTGCCATATAGAATATTTTTTTTCTAACAGAATCCATGGATGCATGGTACCAAGTGTACTCAGTTGTTTCTGATGGCATTTCAGGAAGAGGTCTTGTCTGACATCCAATTATTTCTACTTTGTGTTTATGAGGAGAGATACTTAATAAATCTAACGCTTTCTTAACTTCCTCTGGTTTCAGAGCATTGGGACAGTCCTGATATTTATACAAATATATTAGACACAGTAAATTCTAGAATAAGCATTGTCAAAAACATTTACCTGTTTGTTAGCAACTACTAAAATTGGTACGTCATCCATTCTTGCATCACTTAACAATTGTTTCAAAATAGAAGCAGCGGAAGATAACTTTTTTATATCAGACGCATCTACTACAAATAATAACAAATCTGTGTCTTGTAAGAAAGCAGTCCAGTATTTTCTAGTAGCGTCTGAACCTCCAACTAATAATAAAACATTAAATAATTACATATTTGACCAACGTGATCATATTGTAAGTGAAAATCCGTAGAACAATAAGATTTACATACTATCCCAAACATTGTAAAATAAGACCCCATTTTTTATTCTATATACAGAAGAACCTTCTGTTGGTTTCGAAGGGACGGTGTACGAAGTTTCATCGCCGTTCGCAACGCATATTTGGTTTATAATGGATGTTTTCCCAGCTCCGTCTAAACCTAACAGGAGCACCCGTTTTTCATGATTATCATCGATCTATAAAAGCAAGGTAACGAGGCTTGTTACTGAGATTACATTTGGCGAGTGAACGCGAACGGACCGATATCACAAAATCGATTGTTTGAAACAATTAGGAATGGTCTCAAACAACAAAAACAGAACTCTAACCTTAGACACCTCATCAAAACCTTCGTCTATTGCCAGAAATTCTCGTTTTTTCCAATATCGGTATGCAATGTACGTGCCGATACATGTACAACTGATCCAAAAGATCTTCTGGCCGTTTCGAAATACATTTCGTATCATTATTCTCGAAATGTTATGTTCGGTGAAAAGGACTGAGAGATAGAGCCGACTTTCTCGGCTTGGATTCCGTGTGCACGTTTCGTTTTACGGTTTGTCACCTCGCCGCATGACATGCATCGTATCACATCGTTCGAACAAAGTGTACGTAATTGTAATTATTTGTGAAATGCGTTTACAATGTTATCTGCATTTAAGTGAATTTATAATGGTACACGATAAAATTCTTTCGAAAGCGCCGTCTATTAATTTGGTACTACTGACGGGAAAGAAAAAAGAAAGATGAGAACAGAATCAATTTCCTCGTGATGATTTTTGTATTTTACATTTTGTACACACGTGAGTGACAAACGTACACATCGTAAGGTATAATTTAAAGGAAATGCTGTTATCAATTGTCCATCATTAGTTATGCGTGAGAGAAATAATTGTACGTAAATTTAACTTGCGTTCTCGGCCGCAGTCTACCTGACTCGATCGATGCGACTGCACGATAGTTCTGTCTCCATTCGGCGATTTGCTTAGATTATGAGTAGTATGCGACAAATGTTGAACATTTCGACGCGATATCATTGAAACATTGCATTCGAATGCAGTTATAGATTTGTTTCTGTTTGACGTGTATTTCGAAGATCTGAGGATAAAGGTTATGGTCAAGTCATTACCGTACAGGTTAAACAAATTTCAAAGTGATTCCATTTGGAAGTAACAATTGAAAAAAAAAATGGATAACGTTGCAATGGCAGAGTGTTTAACTCTTGAATTTGGTCCTTTCGAAACTGTCCATCGTTGGCAACGTATGCCAGAATGCGACGAATTTGTTGGTGCCAGGTAATTTGATAATTGATTTAATTTATCACTTGAATTATGCATTATTTTTCAATCTTTCTGATTTATTTGAAACTTTCTTTAATTTTTCATAACGTACAACAGTTTTGTTGCAGCATTTCAATAATAAGAATTATGTATCAGTGTTTCAGTTACATCCAGCATTTCCCAGTTTCTTGATTTACTTTCTATAACTTTGTTTCGAAGAGTTTATTTGTAATTGTTAATTGATTATTATAAATAAATGATAATGAATGATTTGTAGAGTTTTTAATTATTACCAATATAATTCTTCTCTTTATAAGTTAAGATACAGTAGTATTAGTGACATACAATTGACAATAGGCTAAGGTATTTTGTTATTGCTCTTTGCTTTCATTTATTAAATATTATGTTGAAAACAGTTTTATTTTTATACAGAAGTTTAATGTATTGTATTATACACAGGCGTAGCAAACATACTGTTGTAGCTTACAAAGATGCAATGTATGTATTTGGTGGTGACAATGGTAAAAGAATGTTGGATGATTTATTAAGATTTGATGTGAAAGAAAAGTCCTGGGGACGTGCATTTGCAACAGGAACACCTCCTGCTCCAAGATATCATCATTCTGCAGTTGTGCATGACTCTTCTATGTTTGTATTTGGTGGTTACACTGGTGACATACATTCCAATTCGAATCTCACTAATAAAAATGACTTATTTGAGTACCGATTCCAAAATGGCCAATGGACAGAGTGGAAATTTATTGGGAAGTATGTTTCACTTGTTTCATTTAATTTTCTCTTACTTTCTAGTGCTTTTTAAAGTTATCATCACACAATTATATAAAATATAAATTTTTCATTTCTTTGTAGGATTCCTGTAGCTAGATCTGCACATGGAGCTGCTGTCTATGATAACAAATTGTGGATATTTGCTGGTTATGATGGCAATGCAAGATTAAATGACATGTGGACAATATCATTATTAGTAAGTAATGCAGTATATTTGAAACAGTATGACAGATTATTGATCTTTTTTTTTATTATTTTTAGCCTGGAGAACCAAGAGTATGGGAGGAGGTTGTCCAGTCTGGTGACTGTCCACCGACCTGTTGTAATTTTCCTGTTGCAGTAGCACGTGAATGCATGTTTGTATTTAGTGGCCAAAGTGGAGCTAAGATCACAAATAGCCTCTTTCAATTCCATTTTCAAGAAAAGCGGTAAGTTCATAGCTTTGTATTTCGAAGTTGTATCGTATTTGATGATATATATATCACTAGTTGGACGCGAATTTCAACGGAACACATACTTCGTGGTGCCCCGCCTCCGCCAGCGCGACGATATGGTCACACCATGGTTAGCTTTGATAGACATCTTTACGTGTTTGGCGGTGCAGCTGATTCTACGTTACCCAACGATCTTCATTGCTACGATCTCGATACGCAAACATGGAATATTATTTTGCCATCTGCTGACAGTCAAGTTCCTTCTGGTCGACTGTTTCATGCAGCGGCAGTGATTGGAGAAGCGATGTTCATTTTCGGTGGAACAGTCGACAACAATGTCCGATCCGGAGAGACATATCGATTCCAATTTTCATCGTATCCAAAATGTACATTGCACGATGATTTCGGAAGGTTGTTGAACGGACGTCTTTTCTGTGATGTAGAATTTATAGTAGGCGATACAGAAGCCAAAATACCTGCTCACATAGTTATAGTAGCAGCTCGTTCACAGTTTCTTAGGTCGCGCATTAGGAAAGCTCAAAAAAAACGAGAGAAACATTTAGAAGAAGTATTTGGAACTGTGGATGTACCAATCAAAGATATGCCATTGTTAGAAGTAAGCAAATTTTTAAAATTGAAAAACTATTCATTTGATATCTGTTATAAAATACCAATAATTTGTTACGTTATTACTTCAGGTAAGACTGAAAGATGCTGTACCAGAGGCATTTGAAATGGTTCTGAATTATATTTACACCGATCGTATTGATCCAACAATAAGAAGCGAAGACGGATCAAATAATCATGCTGAAGACCCATTAAGCAATCGAATCGTGCTGCTTATGATGGATGTTTATCGCTTAGCTTTGCAATTCAATATGAAACGATTAGAGCAGTTATGTGTCCAATATTTGAAGGCGACTATAAGTAATGCTAACGTTTTGAAGGCATTGCATAATGCCGCTTCCTTAAAATTACATTTTATAAAGGAGTTGTGCTTGAATTTTATCGTGAAGGAAATTAATTACAATCAGATTGTTATGAGCAAAGAATTCGAGACTTTGGATCAACCTTTGATGGTAGAAATTATCAGAAAAAGACAGATACCTCAAACAGGTGTAGTTAAACACTGTGATCTTATTACAGGTAAAATTCGACGAGATAATTCCCGAAATAATAATTTTTCTGACTTGAATTCGTGTTTTATTGTAGGTTCAACATTGGAAGAGGACATGGAGGCATTTCTTAAAAGTGTCGGCAAAGAATTCTGTGATATAACGCTTATGTTAGATGGTGTGCCAATTCCGGCTCATAAGGCCATCCTTGCCGCACGGTGTGGCTATTTTGAGGGAATGTTCCGATCTTTCATGCCTGAAAATAATACAGTGAACGTAAATTGCTGATTCTTCTATATTTCTTTATTTATTGTTGTTGAATACATTCAATACGTACAATTTCAATACTGCAGGTACAAATTGGTGAAATGGTTCCATCTTCCGAGTCATTCGACTCTCTGTTAAGGTATATTTATTACGCGGACGTTTCAATGCCACCTGAAGACTCGTTATACTTATTTACCGCACCAGTTTTTTATGGTTTTACGAATAATCGATTGCAAGCGTTTTGCAAGCAGAATCTCGAGATGAATGTCACGTTTGAAAACGTTATACAGATCTTAGAAGCTGCGGATAGAATGCAAGCTGTTGATATGAAGAAATATGCGTTGAATCTCATTGTGCATCATTTTACGAAGGTACGTGTATTGCAATAATTTGTATTTCGTCACGTAAGAAGCTTTTTCTTTTATCGTAAATGTAATTCTTCCTCGTTACAGGTTGCGAGGCTACCAAGGTTAAAGCAATTAAGTCGCGAACTTTTATTGGATATTTTGGAAGCATTAGCTGACGAACGCAGCGAGGCACGAACATGTCAGGACATGGCGAATGATTGCTGACGGATCTCGAGCTCGCACCGTTGTCCCCATAGTTGGGACTTGTCTTCGCCCTCGAGCTTTCAAGTAAGTGTGCAATACAGCATTCTAACAACATTCAACATCTTTTACCTTCTGGGTTATGGATACATAGTAGATGAGTGTCTGAAAAATCTGAAATATCGTGCGCGTATGTAAATGCAGAAGTTGAATACTACCTAAGCTAGTATCAAAGATTGTGATCTCTTTAGAGTATTTAATTTATTTGTATATAAAGTATATGATTTGTTGAAAATCTCTTGTAAAAGAAAACATTAAATAAAAAAATATTTGTTGGATCGCTTAAACTCACCAGTGTAACATTTACTTTATTCAACGAGTATGAAAGATGATTAATAAAAAGATTTCTTTCAGTTGTCAATTTGTTAATATCACCTTTAAGAATTAATTTAAGATTTTGATAGATACTAGATTTAATAAATTATTAATAAATAAAGGAATATTAGGTATTGGATATTGGATATTAAATGAAACATGATTAATAAATTATGTATTATATTTTGACTTTGATCGTGAATGATCGTACATACACGCACAATCAATTTTTTTTAATGATAAATTTAACACTTTAAGCTTAATACAAGCTGCGCAAATTTTGGGAAGGGGAGGATTTGAAAGAAACATTATGTAAAGGAGCTCGTATAAAATCATTGCTCTTGTTTTCTCTCTACATATTGTTGTCTCTAGTTAGGTGACATTCGTCGACAGCCCGACACTTTAGTTCAGTCTCTTGAACAAAATATTGCGAAATAGAATTTGTACTTAAAGTAAACATGTCTTTCGCTCTCGTTTCGTGCTTCCCATAATCGTGTGTCAATCGAAGCTTGTACGAGAGATTAACTTGTTCTTTTTTTTTTCTTTTTTGTTTTCTCTACGTAAAATGTGATTTTTCTCTACGTGTGTGTTCTTTTTTTTTTCTAAATGTTCTGTTTTTTTATATCGTTAATTCACAAAATTCGAACTCGTTTAGTTTAAAATTGTTGCTCTAAAGGCGTCTTACTCCAACTATTAATAGTCATCTAAACTTAAATCACGATAAATAGTTGTAATATTAATTACGCTAGGTAGGCCTTTTTTTTGTTCGTCGCTTAGAATTCTAAATGAACTAGAGTAATATTGAAACGTGGCCATCTCAACCCGCCACAACGAGTTCATTACAAAATGAGATCTAAAAGTTACACAGCTAGAATCAAATTAGTTACAATGATACGGTCGTGGTACAAACTTCACGTTGATTTCGAATGGCCCCAATCTGAAAGCATTTAGCAATTAATTTCATATAATTTATTATCTTCTTCTTTTTTATGTTTCTCGTTTCACAAAAATGACTGGAATATTCTGAGTACTCACCGATTATAAAATTGCTCGATTCATATTGTAGGCACAGGGAGTACGAGACGTTCACCTATTCAAGTTGAATCCATTCTCAATTGTTTAAACCCTTTTTTCTGATCCTGCATGAAAGTGTGTGCAGCACTTGCATACAGACAACAGAAAGTAACATCTTGTTTCTAAACACGACGTATCACGTACACCCTCATCAAATGCAGATGGTCCGTAGCAATTTATCTTTTCGGCAGGTTACACTTGTATCCCAGTTCTAGTCATTTCTAAGAGAAAACAAGATATATGCATCTCCAAGTTCTTCGTTTTAAAAAAGAAAGTCGAAATACAAGGTGTTCTATGATGTTTTTTTCTTTCAAATTGAAAATCTGGGACGTTCTTCTGCTCTACATAAAATCAAAGGAAAAGAAGAAGCGTATCGTGAATGTCTTCGTATTGATTTTCAGTATGCTTCCATCTTATCATTAATGAAGCGTTAGCTGATGTGTGCAGTTTGTGTGTCGTTTGAATATTCACGAGATGTACAGCGTGTTACAAAAGAATTTCGTTACTAAGAACAAGCTGATTTAGTCATTTTATATTTATAAAACACCTTGCTGAATTATTATTATTATTTTTTTTTTGACTACATATATATATATAATATGGAAGAAAATATAAGAAAGACTAATATTGCCTGTCGTAATCTTAGATGAAACAGTAAACCTTTTCCTCCGCGATGCTGCTGGTCGATGGCATTCGGTGCGAAGGTTCCAGCCTTCTTCTTCTCTCCTCGATAGCTTCCGCGTCTAGGTTCATGGTAGGCTGAATCGTCTGTGTCACAGACGTGCTTATGTGTCTCGTTTTAACGAGAGGTGGGTTTCGCGATTGAGGAATCGCGAACGCTCTTCTAAGCGCCCCTCTCGGGGGCGACGGTGGTGGATACGAGATACCTAATGGTATTTTTTTCAATTAACATCCTAACTTCATTCAATTTATCTTTTTTTTTTTTTTTCTTTCGTGCTAATATCAAGCAGTGGATACATCGTTGTTCGTGGGATCGGAAGAAGCTTTTAAAAGGGAAAAACAGGATGAATTATTTCTGAAAATCGGAAGTCAGTGCAGTAGGAAGAAATAAATTAGGCACGGTATCGTTTGATCCCTCAATTTTTCAACGTTCTATATTCTCCTATTCTAAGTTTCTGTTAAGCATGCACAGTGCTACGTTGGCCGGTGAGTCAGATGGTCGCAGCAGACCTCTAAGGGGTAAGAAGGCTTGTAAAAGATATACTCCCGCGTGGGTAATTGCTACCTCGGTGCCCTGGTGAAAGCAAAGTGTCCTTGCTCTTTGTTATTTGGGGTACGATTAGAAGCGAGTTTGGCGGTGTCGGAGATACGGTTGACGTTTGTGGCGAAGTGGCTAGGGTCAAATTTGGCAGCGATTGGCCCAAGCTAGAATACGCCGGCACTTGGACGCTCAACGTGTTAGGCGTCGGTGACTTACTCAGTGGATATCGTCTATTATCAAATTTGTTAGGACTAGAATAACGGTCAAATATTGGTCAGATTGCATTTAAAACACATGTGTTATTTGTGAACGTTTCTGTGGACGGTCTCGACGTATTTACCTTATTTGCAAGGGTCTGTGGTTGTGGCCAGAACTCTCACCTCCTTCTTCCGACGATACGCTCGAGGCGCGCGGCGGTTCACTCGTCTCTACGCTGACATTTCTGCTTGGGTTGTAACTGGGCAGGAAGCTGCTGCTTCCCGGCGAAACACCTTCCATCTCTATGCTTCCACTAGAAGCAGTTTCGTGACTATTAGGGCTAAAGATTTCATATCCTCATCTACTGCTTTGTTGAAATTTGTAAATTAGAGTGGAGCTTGTACCTATGACTGTGAGCGAGGCTGCTCACTCTCGACGCTCTGCTGCTTCCTCGAGGTGTTTTCGGTATACCCTCGCATTCCTCCGGCTCGAATTCCACCTCACCGAGGAAGGTGCTCGGTTGTCTACTGACCGTGCCTAAATTCATCGTGTTGCCAAGCGGTGGCACTTTCATCAAGGCGAATTGTTGCTGAGCTTTCCTTATGGACTCCATCCAAGACTAAAACGTGGGATAAAACAACGTCAATCTCAACTCCCAGTTATAATTGTACATTAATTTTCTCCATTGCGATTAGATTTGAAAAAAAAGAAACGTTTCGACGCACGAACGCACCTTGGCTAATTTTGATTCTCCAGCGCTGAGAACCAAAGCAGCTGATGCCGCTCCGTATTCGTTCAGATAAACCAAGCCTAAGCTACTTGGCTCCTTCAACTCGTGTATTCGGATACGATCGATGACGTACGGTTGTCTTATAATCTTCAAACCGCCCCCGACGGTGCCAGCCAGCCCACTGGACGAAGTTTTCTTGGTCGATGGCTTGCAGATCAATAGCATGTCTGTCAGTAGAAGCACGTGTACTTCCATCTGAGAGGACAGTTATTCTTTTAATTTACAGTTGTTCTTTGTATTTTCAGTCTGGTTGTGATGGCTTGATTACCTTGCTACTAGCAGCATCCCTCAACTTTAAATCTCCCTCGCGAAGAAGTATTCTGAAGCTGTCTTTCGGACAGCCTGGCATTGGAACGGTAGTAATGTCGAACGTGCTGTGAATTTTAATCAGTTTCTCTAATTCTTCGTCTCTAGATTCGACCACGTCGTAGCTCTCTATTCGAGACGCGGCACCGGCCAATCGCGCTGTTTCTTCGTTCCTCCTCAAGGCTGCATTCACCGATGCCACGAAGTCGTCGACAGATTTGATCTGATTCACAGTGACGTTATAATGATATTAACATTAACACTGTACAGAGTGTTAGCTCTGTTGCTGTTCAGTAAGTAGTGTTACTTTCTTACCATATGCGTCAATTCTGCTCGTTGCTCCTCGTTCTCCGTGTTCTTGTGAACAGCCTTCAAGAGGAGAGAGTACTTCGTCAACCTCTGCATAGGTTTCACCAGTATGTCGAGCAGTTTCAGTCGATTGCAGTCCTTTTGAGTCTCACACCACTGACAAACAGAGAGAGATATATAATCACAATGAAATAAGTCTCCAGATTCTCATCTTTTAATAACAATAATTTTTCAAGACTCTCACCACCAGATAGACCGTGAATAACTGATTATCGTTCAAACGGTCCCGGCAATACTGTTGACATTTGCTTTGCTCCGCGCAGTATCTGGTATAAGGTGCGAACGTTTGCTCAAACGTCTCGAAACCTTGCAGAAGGTGGCCAGGATCGAGCGGTTGCCCAGTGGTCCTCGATGTATTCAGCATCACTAGAATGCACTCAGTCCAGAAGTAGCGATTCGCGGCGTAGATCTCAGGGATATTACTGAACAGCTTCGTCCTGTCGACCTCGTTCAGGATATTCGAGGCCTGCAGGCTGCAGAGACACGCCATGAACAGCTGGAAGTATCAAATGGAATTAGAAAAACTGTACCTTTTTCTGTCTCGTCGAGTTTCTGAAATATCGAGTTTTATATTTTCAGTGTAAACTGCGGGTCTTTATCCAATTTTTTTTAACGAACGCAATTAAAGAAAGTTGTAGCTTAAGCAACTTGTTTTCACCACCAAGTGTTATAATCAAGTTCTTAAAAATGTGAATTTACATAAAAATCCGCGCCAGATTTGTAATAAGTACTCCAGTTTTAATAAGTATTGTATTTCCTATATATTTGCATGCTGAATTCTTAAAATTTTTCATAAATTGCATAAAAATTGCAGTCTATTTATCAGGATACTTACGTCTGTCACGACCTTCAGAGTCTTTATGTAAGCTACTTCCGTTTGAGCTAGCTCCCATAGAGCAGTTTGCTGTTGTTGATGCTTTTCTGATAGTTGGTCCGAATTGTGAACGATATCGCGCCAGTCGTGTTCTAAGTTGTACAAGGCTGCAATAAAATTCATTTATCAATTTTATCAACATGTAATTAAGTTCGTAGCGTATATTTTCTTATTGAAATTATTATATGTTCCGCTGTTTTTCTATTTTTTCAGCCCGCAACGTTTCAACATTACGAAGCGATGGAAAAATTTCACGTTCACGAACGACACGTGAGCTCATCGAATGTGACTATAAAGAATTTTTATTCAATCATTTATATTATATAAAAAAAAAAAGAATCATCGATCAATGCTATATAAATATGTATATGAAATCTTTCTCAATGTAACATAATTTATTGGGTACAGATACAAGATCGTTGTACAGAAAGTGTTTAAGTTTCCTTTTCCCTCTATCATTCTACCATCGTGCTATTTTAATTACAGATCATTCGTGTATGACACCGATATATAGAATGGATAAAGTAGCGAATTCTAATGATTAATATTACGTGGAATAAAATATCCATAAAGTTGCAATGGGACAAAACACATTGCACAAATTTTCAAAAATATTCATATCCATTTTTAGATTTGCCATTACATGTTATAGGCTGTGATATTTTCATGAACTAAAGTTTTAAGTGAAACTTAAATAGAAATATGTTTTTTATCTATTGCAATAAATATCTTGCATGTCGCAACTTTCAGTTTCCCACTATGAACGCATAAGAGTCCACTGTCTACTTATTCGTTGATATTCTCAAAAGTTGAACACTGAAACAGGATTTGGCAATCCTGTGACGAAATTATTAATCGAGAGATTGCTCACCATCTTCGTTGAAGGTGAGCTCGTAAGACAGTTCGGAAAGTTTCGGCACTCCATGCTTGTCGTAATCGTCCAGCTGAGCGGTAAGTAGATCGAGTTTGGTGCCTTTGGTGTTGGTGAAGAAGCCACTCCATCGCTGTTTGCTGGTCTTGAGCCCCGCAGCCCCAGCGGAGCTCCGACCAGACGTCAGCGTGGTGTTGCCACCGACCTCGGAGTCGACGCTCGAATCCTCTGTCGAAACGCTGAAGAAACGACCGCTACGACACCGATAACTCTGCGAAACGAACCACACGAATAATTTGTCTTCCACGTAAAATATCCGAATTACATCGAATAGTTCGCAGTTCGCGAGTTACTCAAAGATATATCTGGTCACTTAACGAACGCGCGGTCGGGAGGAAGTAGTTGTTTCTGGCAATAATCGGACATTCGAGTTACTCTCTAAATGGAAGACAACGCGCGTCGTAGCACGTGCGGTTTCCCTCGTCTAGTAGTTTTCGACGTTGCGGTGGAAGAACATCTGTTATACCAGAAACGCAGATGTGATCGCTGATTAAACGGCGATGTTATAACAATCGCGATATATAACGAAGATAAATTTCTTGTTCCAGCAGCAGGAATCGAGATGACTCTCTGAATCTGTTCGAGCAAACTTCAATTTTCGGGAGACGGGAGACGATCTCAGGTTAAATCAGATATATCTTTCGTCGGGAAACGATCTCAGGTTAAATCAGATATATCTTTCATTTTTACACCTAATTGGAAAAGTCACTCGTTTAGATTCGTTGTATTTTTCGAATCATTTTTACAGAATAACTTCGAAATCAGTATCAGCATCAACTAAAGAGAAATATATTCTGAAATATGTCTTTAATCTTCCCCAAATGCACGAGTAATTGGCAATCCACGATCTGCTAATTAGAATCGCGCAGTGAAAAGGACCATCCGACCATTGTTAAGTGTCCATTTTGCAGATTACTGACAGGCATCGTAACACGATAGACAAACATGACGTACACACGATGCACGTGTGTGTGTGTGTGTGTGTGTATTACGCCGAAAATTGACGAGGGGATCGCGTTCCTGTCCGCGTGAATTCATTAGAATCTGGCACGCCGGTGTAATAAGAGGATCAGCATCGATTATCGAGCCCGGCGGATATTGTTCGCGGCCGAGCGGAGTGGTTCGTTTCGTGATTTGTCTTTCAGTCGCGTGGGCGGCGGGTCAAGGATCAAGAAATCCTCCGATGTCGTTGCATTGTCCGCCGACTTATTAAAGCCACGTAGGTCGGCACGGTCGGTGCGTTGGTCGATCGAAGATTAGGGAGAGAGGACGATAGGCGAGAATGTGTGTCAGCTTTCGCCTCGGCGCACAATGAGCCATCGGCTTCCAGCCGATATCAAACACCTCGGGGAAATGCGCTGCCGGAGGAGCCGAGCGACCGGCGAACGTTTCGTTTGAGTCGCCTTTTCCGCCGTATCCGCGCTAATTAAAAAATCGGTGCCAATCGAAACGAGACGAGCGAGGATTGACTGTCGAACGAAGAGAAGGATGACGCGCGGGAGGTGAGACCTCAAGATTCGTACATAGAGATGACAAAGAAACGGAGACGTGACAAGTAGATTGCGGGTTTTTACGTGCTGAGAGATTTAGAGATACAAAAATGCAGATATTCGTTTCGTTTGCTAAACATCATTACAAGTAGAATATTTTCATACTCTATTGTGCAATTAATATTTTGTATATTTTATCACACGCTGCTGGTAATATTGAAACTATACTTTATACTATACTTTATTACGCTAATGAGATCGAGTTTATTTGTCGTAATATTTCGCGGTGGAGAGGTATTTCTATTCAGGTTCGCGCGCTTCTTTATTTCTCAGTTCGTAAAAACGTGAAATTGCACGAAGATCCGCAATCTACTGACAAGCAAGCGAACTTTGTTCCCAGCCGTTGATTCACTCCTCTTCGGCCGCTTTCGGCCGAGGTCGGGACGTGTTCGAGGTTCCATTAGAGGAATTAAACGGTACCTCGTTTTACTTTCGGGCAACTATCACGAAAACCTTACCCCGCTCGCCTTTCTCAGGGAGACACTTTGGTTGCTTCTCTGGCTCGACGATCTCGAGTTCGATTTGTCGTTGTCCTTAACTGGAACAGAAAAACGAACAGCCGTGTTTGAATGCACTTGGAAAACTAAAGTTCTCCGCGAGATATACAGAGCGCTCGTAGTCAGCTCTCTCTCTCTCTCTCTCTCTTTTTCTCTCTCTGTAGTCGTTTGTCATCCGCTTCCGTTCCAATCGATTTTACAAGGGGCAAGAAAAGAGGAAGATCGGAAGGAACCGACGATTACTTTCGGAACTTTGTTTGTACAGCTTTACAACGCTCGGAAAGATTTTTCCATGACAGTTTAATGGCGGAACAAGTTCCTCGCGAGAAATGTCTATAACAACTGCTCGCGAAAGTGGTCGAACGTTCGTCGCAAATTTTTCTCGAATATATTCTGCGTATTGTGTGAAACAATGTGAAATTTTCAACGAGATCTCGAGTTCAGTGAAATAAATCGGAGAACATATGCATATTTAAATATCAATAAACTTGAATGTTCTCAACGTCATTCTCATCATTCTATGATTTATCATGATACTTGAGATGATCGTTCGTGCTGATTAAAATTTCACTGAATGCAAGTATACAATGGTTAATTAATAAAATTTCAAAATTTACTTTACGCAACACACACAATAAATATTGTGTGTATCTTTGAAAGCGTCGCTTCGCCAGTCAGTGTGGAAGCGGTAAACGTCAAGATTGATATTTCAGATTGATAAACAAGCCTGGAATTCCAGGAATTAAGCTTCACGACGAGTTCAAGTTTGTTCCAGTGGAAACAGACAGCGCGTTATCGATGTTCGTGACAGTCTCGCGTGGCCGGCCGACCAATGACGGACGTTTCCCACTTGCGTTTAAGCGGCTGTATCTGATCGCGCGTTTTCTCCCCCTCGTTAGCGCTGTGTTCCTGCGGGAAATGGCGAGCGTTTCGGTGTAAGGCGCCAAAGAGTAGTTATTATAAGGGCGATAGCCATCCGAAACCGGTGAGTAATGGGGCGAGAGCCTCTGTTCGCGCGTTAAAATCGCTTGCGTCAATCGACGCGACGTTTCTTTCGGAGGGTTGCTTGCCTCGGAGCTCAAGGACGCGGCAAGGTTAGGTCGAGACTCTAAATTTGTCGCGCGGATTTCGAAAAATAGAACAAAGTAGACCACGCGACGGCGAAACAGAACGGGAAAGATTTTTCAATTTCGTTTCTTCTCGTGTTTCTAGATCCGAGAGAGACGGGCTGGAAATAATGTTTGTCGTTAAAACGTTGCTTGCCGGAAACAATCAGAATCAAAATCCGCGGGAAAATGTGAAAATATGGTCGAACGAGGACCGGCCGAGCACGGAATTTGATTTTAACAAGGTATTTTAGCTTGGCGGTTTTCGCCAAGAGCCGTCCCGTCCACGTTGCCTCAACTCGCGAGAAAACACGAGGAGAAATAACGATTCTGAAATTTTTCTTCGTTCGAACGACGTAAAGTTATTTCGACCCTGTTCCCTTTTCCCTCGCCAGTACGTTTCACGCTTCCACGTTTTTTACTACCTTTCTTTTCTCATTCTTACTTCCCACTCTTACCGCGCAGAACAAGAGAAATACTTGAAACATTTGTCCAGTTAAATCAACCTGGCAAAGATCAACATTTCCTGGAGAACCTAGAGAATCGTTTAATCTACCGAATATTCTGTTTTGAATGTTTAACGTAGTTTTCCACGTCAGTGATCCAAACGATCGCTCGTCGATTTTCGGTAAACGCATATAAAAATCCGCAGCTTGAACATTGCTGTTCCCCTCACGATGGGTTAAAATTGACTAAAATTCATTAAATCGAAATTCAACGGATCGCACAGTGGAAATTTCCATCGAACTTCCCCTGACAACTGCAAATGGAGATTGGTTGTGTTACGTGCACGTCTATTGTTACAACTGGTTACAATTAATCGTGTTAAATGTTGCCATGTTGCTTCGTGACGAGATATCCATTTGCCATCCCGATATTTAACGTCATCCCATCGAGCAAGAAAGCAGGAGAAATTTCCGAAATTTGCTCGCGATCGAAGCAGAAAAAAGAAATTGGGTGTTCGAGTCTTTGCAAATCCCTTTCAACGTGTACTCCCAAGGGCACTAGACAAATTAGCCAACCACCATGAGTTATAGCCTTTCTGTAGCCTTTCACGATGTTATTACAGCCCACGATTCATCGCGTGACACGTGCCCATACAAATCCATCGTCTCATTTTCTTTCGCTTTCTCTTCTCTCTCTATTTTTTTTTTTTTTCATTTAATTGCTATCCTATATTGTTGTAGATGGCATATCGCGTTTTACGTGGAACAACGATAAAAATCGATTTCGCGCGTCACAACGGTTGAAAAAAAGGAAAAAAAGAGAAAAAAACTTGATATAAATAATTCCTGTCGACGATTCGAAACATTTCTGCCGTTTCACGTCCGCTTTTGTAGCGCCGCGCGATGTGCACAGTCGATTTAATATGATCGAATGGCAAAGGTAAATTCTTCTAGTTTCTGTCTGCGTGGTTCGCGAAATTCCCTCGGTTCTTCCTTCCTTTGAAACGATCGTGATTTTCAACGAATTTGTGTAATAACACGCAAATAGCTTAGGCAAACATTTGATTCGCCGATGGCCGAGATTTATCAGCGCGTGAGAATCGACGGGGATTGCCGTCAATGGACGTCGGGATAAATTTCGATAAATAAAATTTCGCGTGGACAGTGGCTCGTGAGAATATCGCGACACTTCGCTCGAAAGATTTTTACATGACGATGGCGTGTACGTTGCGCGAAAATTTTATTAAATCTAATCGATGCACTGCAACGAGTACACCAGTGGATTTTTTGCCAAATTCATGCTCTCATGGATACAACTGAAAATGTAGGAAATTAATTTAGATATTATTTTTTCGCATTACACGCGTTAACAGGCACGCGACTATCGCGTCCGAATTTGTAGATAAAAGCAATTTACGTATTTACTGCAAACGTGCGCAGTTGGTATTTGCAAATGTACATTTACTAACAAATTAATACACGGCATGAGTAGTTCTCGTGAAATATTGTGGTTTGTTAATCTAATGAATTACGTACCGTTCAAATCGTCTGTGTTTGTAGTAAATGTCCGCAGTGTCAACATAATATAACCAGTCCAGCCTCGTAATGACAATGAAATTCAACGAGATCAAAATGTTTCGTGTAACGTAACACAATACGATCATGCGTTATAATTTGATCAAAAGATTTTGTTCTTTTCAAGCGTTCTAAGTAGTACGACCCGATTATTCTCAGACGAAGTCTGCAGCTCGAATTAAAGGTTTTCTCTCTCACAACAGATCTATTTTTGTTTTGATCTATTTATCCATTCATCCCATATCCTTTTTGTTATCAATGAAAAAGTGTCATCTTTCCTTTCTAAAGTCCTTTTCATCGAGACATCATCGTGACATAGTAATTGTACATATCGATAGTTAATTGACAGTATATTAAGACACGATCTTCCTTCATATTTGTTCACTTTTAAATGACAATTTCAAAATGAGATTCTCGAAAATGACAATTATTATTTGCAATCTTGTCATTTGCTTAATTAAACTCAAAATTAATGATAGATTTAAGCGTACCATATATGTTCGAATTGTAGAAAATCTCATTTCGACATAACTGATGCTTCATTGGACAGTTTCCACTTTTTTGTTCGTAATTTCAACCCTCAAACGATTCAGATCATTTAGTATACAAAATTCGATTCAGTCAAATAATCGACGAGACGTTACGAAAATACCAATCACTCCCCTTTCAACTACAAATCACCTCGACATAATCCTTTTTTTCCTGCAATAGTCGACTGACTCTTCACCTCGTACGTCACCGACGTATGCACACGATGCGACTCGAAGTCCAGGCTCGGTAACGAGCGCGATGCAATTACGATCGCGTGTTCACACGGACGATCACGGGGACGGCCAGGCTCATTCGGACCGTTTAACTTATCAATTTCGCAGTGATGATTCGTCGCGTGCACGGTCGAACATCAATTAGGACCAGTTTCAATCTCGCGGCCACGATCCTATCTGTTATATCGGTTCCGCATGAATTATAGAGACGGTATTCGTGCTCACGCCGCTCGCCTCCTCGTCGAACCGTCACCTTCAACTGGTCGAAGGTTGCGACCCGGGCAGCGGCAGATCGCGAACCCGGCGAATGCAAATGTTTCTCGAGCGTTTAACGAGCGAACTTTCGCGATAACGAGCAACTTTCACCGCCTGCGTTCGATGTTTCTTTTAATCGCCCCGCACTGTTTTCCCGGTGCATACAATAAATATACCGGATTATCCGAGTCCCGCGATATCGATGGCGAAGTTTATAACCTTACCGTGGCAGCGAAAATTTGCATGGACCACGAGGGAGACAGTGAAGCGGATGCTTATATTGGACTACCGATAAGGGACTACCGCTACATACGTGGCGATTCGGTTGCACGTGGAAAGAATATGCGCGTCTCGCGAACGCGAGGTCTTTGAGATTCTTAAAAAGATTATTGGAATTTCGAAATTTATCAGGCCTCGTTCATCTCAAATATAACCTCCATTTATGGATTTTAGTTCAGTCTTAGAAGCCGAATTAATCTTATATTTAACCTCGGCTTTTTATTCGATAATTTTCAACGAAGCTGAAAGAAAAAGACCTGCGATAATTCCTCCATCGTAACCATTCGCATATTCACCTGTTACTCGTAAATATTTCCCACCAAGGCTCGAAGTTTCCGTGGTATGGATCGGCAACGACTGCGAGAAGCCATCGAATACCTCGATCCGCGACATGTCGATTCCGCGCCTCTCGCAGGCAGCGTTCAACGCCTCCCTGTAACAAACGTTTCGCGGAGCTTTATCGATGTAATTCAATTTCACGGAGTGAACATGATCGAACAAACGAAGCAAATTGCCTTCAATCTGTATAGGTATGTCGCTCCTTTACGTAATTTTGAATCATTGACGAAACAGAAATTAAGCGGTTCACGGGCCAAAAGTAGTTGATCGATCAACTCAACATTTTACATCTAAATTTTGGCAATGATCCTTTGTCATTTGGTAATAGGTGAACAAATAATTTATTTCAGAAGCCAATGACGTACAAAGCATTCAGCGTCTTGTTAAATAAAAGTTTATTTGAGTAAAGAAATTTTCAAAAAGGAATGTGCGCTATACCGCCAAGTTTCTCCACTTTTTTGTTTCGCGTAGATAATTGATTTTAATGACTGCTCTTTGCTACTAAATATTCTAAACACACTTGAGATTCTTATGCATTCGTGGAACTTTGCAATTTTGCACTCTAATATGCACATGTGAAAAATGAACACGGCTTGGAATGAGCAAGTGGAACAACAACAACAACAACAACAACAACAACAACGTGCCAACGCGCCTCCGCGTAATAGCCTTTCGAGAAATACCCCAGTCTGAAAGTACCTAAGCGTGAATTGGCCGCGATACTTTGCGTTGTAACGCCGTCGTAAAGAGCGAGCAACTTTCATAAGATTACATCGGAAGCTCCACAAAGGATCGTTGCCGGTATTTCTCATTATTTACGGACGATTATTAAGCGATGTCAAGAGCCTAGTCCCTCGAAGAGACTCGTTCGGGGACGGCCTTGTCTCGCGAGATTGCCACTAAATTCACGTTGAGCCCCGAGTCTTTTCCTTCGGTGGAATTTCTTCGAATTACGGTCGCTATTTTTACGAGCGCGTAAATCGTTCGAAGTTTCATTTGTTCGTGACACGTTGCTGACACTTTTCGTCGTCGCTTTTCTTTTCCGCCCCCGCAGCCCGATAATTGCTCGACCGCTTGTTAATACAACGAAGATCGACCGCGCTGAATTTTACATTTAGAAATAAATATAAAAATTTTAATCGTCTAATAATTAACTGAATATCGAGGTTCATTGAGAAAGTGAACAAGTTGACTGTTCTGCGAATTTTATACGTATCTTACTAATTGTCCTGCAGTTTCAGAATTCCTTCAAATGTTGCGAACATAATTATGATATTGACTGTGAAATGGACGAAAATCTTTGTCACAGTACAACTGCGAAATTCGAGGATTCCCTCAACTAAAAGACTCGTGTATTAAGAATACACGTTTGTTACATTCAAACCGAATTTCGAATACAGACCGAAGATACATATATGAACTTACGCCAAGTAGGTGCCCTTCGTAGCAGGTAGAAGCTCATCTCGGTCCAGACTGCCCGAATCGTCCGAGAGGTCGAAGCTGACGCTGAAGAACTCGCTGCTGGATACCTGAAAAATTCATTATTTTTTGCAAGTTTCACGACATTGCTGAAGCGCAATTATTTGAGGAAGCCTGACGTTACCAAACGATCTTGGAACTATCGAGCCGAGAGTTCAAGCATTCTGTTCGTCTAACTTTGGATTACGGTGCGCGGATTCGGAAGTGGAACTCAAGAATACTACAGGCGATGAATTTGGCAGGAACGTTCCGCGGAACGTGCGAAACTCTTTGATTTACGTAACGTTTGGTAATTGCTTCTCCAGCCGGATATTTCGAAAATTCAAATTGAGCCAGCTTGAGAGGATGAGTTTGATTTATCGCGGAGTTTACGCGCGAGATTTTATGCACGTGGGTTGATTTTCAGTTAATATACATGGTGAAAACGTGTCCGGGGCTTGATATGTGAAAGACAGGGCTTTTCGTCGATTGGGAAATTTTCGGCGTGCCTGATAAGCCGTGCAAATTATGTAAAATGTACTGCAGATGAAATTCTTTCATCTTGGCCTCCATTGGATGTCATTTCAACAGTGCATGTTATATATTTATGTGTGTTATATTCTGACATTTCATTAACCGTAGTGAAAGAGTCTATCTTATTATACATCTCAAATTTGAAGCCAATCTAATGGAAAAAAATTTATATATATATGTATATATATAAATACAAAAGTACAATATTTACAAAAGACATCACATTTAATTAATTAATTATCTAATTTTACGTTTATAATAATAAATATCTCGTCACTCCTGTTATTTGTTCATTTTCAAATTGTTTCCAAACTTTGTCAATATAATTATATGCAACAACACAATTATAATACAACTTCGTCCCCCGTTACAATGTTGATGAAATTGATGAAATTTCGAAACTGTGTTCCCGTGCATGACACAAACACAGTACGTACATAAAATATCTTCCACATTTAATGATATTCAAGTATCTTTTCTGTTTTAATCTAAATTCATCAAAAAGAATTAGATCTGGTTATTAGACACCGGGACAAAGAAAAGACAGAGGGGAAAAATGTAAAAGTGTACTATCAAAGTACACTAAAATTTCGATCGAATCGCGCCAGGCGTGAAACCACTTGCGAGTCACAGCGCGTAGCTTGTGAAAACGCTGAGTGCCCGTCTGAACTCTATACTAGCTTGCGATGATAGGCAATAAAATAGGGAAAGGCTTTCATTTATGAACCCGTCGGCCCCCACATGGAAAATGGATCGCGCTCATTTGCCACAACCTTTTCCCTGTCACTTAGTTTTACAATCGCCTCCCGTTTATTGCCGCTCGTATTTTTCTCATTGCTCCGTTTAACCGATATTACTATCGCCTGTCGCCCTTTTCCTTCTCCTCCGCCGGTTTCGAATCATGTCACGAAGGATTTTACCGGCGTTACGTTCTCGCGCGTGACAGTTGCAACTTGCCGGGACAGAACCGAGATGTTTCGTGACACGTGCACGTCGTGTATTCTTTATGGCACGTAATTTTTACGCGTTTCTCCTTTATGGATATCGTGTCGCAGCGATGCTGAACTGCGGACAGGAAATGTTCACTTGGAAAGAAACATTGCAAACATTCGAGGATTAATCTCGTAGAATTGCTTTCACATTGTTAATTTTTCAAACGTTAATTCAGAATGTTTACTTTTCCGAACGAACCTTGGCAATTCTTCTTTTACGTTTATATCACGAATTTTATATCTTGATAAATGAGAGGAAATTCCAAGGATTTTTAATATTTCTATCTCTTGCATAGAGATTTTACAATTTTCAAACCCAAGTATTCATGTTGCGGTAAATTTTTCCTTGGTCCTTAATGAAATCCTACGATTTTGCGAAGTTTAAACAAGTTCGACTATTTTTATTACGATAAATTATTTCTTGATCTGGGTTGGTAATAAATTCCAGAGAAGCACAGGTCGTTTGCGATTAAAATTCGTGACTGAATTAAGTAAGAGCTTTAGAGCTCGCATATAAAAATTGTACGTCAGCCGCTTAATTCCTAGAATCAGCAGGAAAAATGTAAACTATTACTTTTAATGGTTTGTCTTCTTCATTTTAGTTTTCTTCTTTCACTCTCTTTATTTCTTTTTCTTTTCTCTCGTCTCTGCTATTTCTTTTTCTCTTCTCCATCTTTTTCTTCTGTTTCTTCCTTCCATTTCCTTATTTCCAACCATCGCATTTACATCTCGTCTCTGACTTTTCCTCTTATTTTTTGAAATTATTAAAATTCAAATAAGTCGGAGTTAAAAAATTCAGAATTACTTCTTCTCTATTTTTTCCAATCTCAATCTTACTATTTTTTTTAAATCCTTCCTTCCATTCGCTTCTACGTTCCCAAGGAATTACAAAAGTCGCAGCAAATCGTACGAATATCGATCATTGGATCTCTGCTATTTTTCTTCCTTCTCTTTCCATTTCCTTATCTCCATCATATTATATTTGCATTTCGTTTCTGACTCCTCTTCCTCTCTCCCTCTCTTCTTTTTATTGTCTCTTAAAATTATTAAAATTCAAATAAGCCGGAGCTAAATAATTCAGAATTATTTCTTTTCCTTCTCTTCTCATTTTCCCCCTCGCGATTATTCTTTCTTCCATTCGTTTCTCCCATTTCAAGAGAGAATTACAACAGTTGCAGCAAACGTCATTGGATTTCTGCTATTTCTCTTCCTCTCTTCCTGTTCCCGTTTCTTTATTTCCAACTCCGTCGCATCTACGTTTCGTCTCTGACTTTCGCTCGTGCTTTTCGAATGTTATTAAAATTTAAGCAAGTCGGAGCTAAATAATTCAGAATTATTTATTTTCTTTCTTTTCTGCTCTTTCCGCTCGCATTCTTTCCTTCCATTCGCTTCCCCCGTTTCCCCGAGAATTATAACAGTTGCATGAACGTCATTGGATTTCGGCCAGTGTTCCATGGCCAAATTGCATTAAACGATCTTAATGTTCCGCGGGTGTTTAATTAATGCACCGGTGGGATCCGTGCCACGGAAATATCGCCCATTTTCCGCCGGAATGCAGTATATATGAGCCGACAAGTAAAATGGGGCCGCAAGTGGCCGGTCAAGTAGAATGGGCGCGCTTGTGGTCGAGCAAGTAGAACGAGCCCGTATAAAGTCGATTTGTAAACGACGCCGCTGTTACTTTTATTGGCGTAATCGTTTGAGGAGATGATTCGAAACAGTTTAGGAAAATGCACGGGACAAAGGACGAAGCAGAGAGATACACGCGATTCAAACCATGCTCGTTTCGAAGCCGTCGATTTTTCCTCGGTTTCCTTCCAGTTTTTTCAATCCATCAACACGCCGAGTTCTCCAGTTATTATAGAAACTTCACGGATATTTTTCAGATGGGTGATTCCTCAGAAGTCAAGTAAGTTCCTTCCGGTTTTATTTATACACGATGAGAGAAAGTTTGTTGCAGATATTTATACAGACTTGTATTTTTCTAAAAGAGAAACTAACTAAATAATTGAAGAAATGGAATACCTGGAACGAGAAGCTAAATTTTTAATTATCAATCGCACGTGCTCGATGTTAAGATGATTTACGATAAGAAGAATATCGAAACTTATCGATCGTTCCAAGTAACGGGAACATTCGTGCGATTTTCTTGGCTGAACTACAGATTTGAAAAATGCACCGCGAATGTCAGCGAAATCATAAATTCAGCACTTCAGAAAAGATTGAGCGTATCTCCGGCTGTTCCAGCTGGGATAATTTTTCAGTGTGTCAAATCCGATACGATATTTCTGAATTCTATGACTAGAAGAACTGTAAATCCACGGTGACGAGAATCGTTGTAACGGTAATAAATATTCACAAATATAAATAGTTAAACTATCACAAATCGAAATAATAAGATCGTCAATCTATTTCAAGAGCTGAAAAACCGAATACGATCTGCGAAATGAGATATCAACAGACGTATTTCCAGTTGTGAAATTCATTCTGGTTTTTCGCGAAGGAAACGGCAAAAACCCGCAACTCAATACGTCGCAAGGTAGAAAAGCTGTCTGGGCGAAGGGAAATGCTGGAAATGGAACAAGATGGCGAAGAAAGAATGATCGATTTCGGGCAATGGGACTCCATCGATTCACGATTTCTCTACGATTTAGCTCCGTTGTCGTTTCACGAACGTCGTCACGTCGTTGTCGTCGCCTCGTCCATCCCCGTGTCGTCTTCAGTCTACGGGGATTTTTGAAAGAAACTTTGATTGGACGTAACGAGCGCGTTTGTTGCAGCTTTGTCACACGCCCGTGTATTTATTTTCACGGCGCGCGCTGTGACGGAATTACGGGGACGTCGCGGGCCATCGTGGCGAAACGTTCCTTGGCCCAGGGTTCAATCGATTATATGCAAACGTACCGCAGATTCGCCAGTATCGATTCATCAGATATAAGTCTCCATACCGTTGAATTTGCGTTCTGTGGTATTCTCGTTAGGTCTCGGCGATCGATGGCGATTAAAATTCCGCGTCGCGAATTTAATGACGCAGGAATGAATAATAAAATCTTTAATACACCGTATTGCACGACGTTACACGATGAAATTTGTACACGATAAATAATAAAACACGTACGTTATTGCTTTTTTTTCAATCAACTGCGGGACAAGATAGAGCAGCAGATACTGCTTCCAGCTGTTAATTTATCATTGCATCCTACAATTTCATAACGTTCGCAACCAATGCAACAAATATTTCATACATTTCCTTCGTCGCTAGAGACTAAAGGCAGATTAATCATCGTTGCCCGGTCGCGTTAGCGAGGCGGCACTCAAAGAAATATTTTCCTCGTAATTTGCCACGACAACGCGAACGCCGTGCACACGCTTCTCCATACGTTGCAAAAATGCAATTTCCTCTTTCCCGTTTACAATTATTCAGCCTGTTTTACATAATTGGGAACAAGAGTGGAGTTGTTCAGCATGCAACGTCTGTAATATCGATTCTTTTTCCATCGTCGGAAACGCCGAAACGACGTCATGTCGAAACCGACGCGGCTTAAGTGCTCCAATTCCCTTCGAGC